TCAAGCGAGGTCAAGACTGCCCGCCTGTTCCATGTGTCTGGGGTAGACAACTCCCTGGCACATTGTTATCTTAGTGCTCCCTCGTTCGCACGATTAGTGAGAAAGGAACAATTAGAGGAGCAGGGCTTCGTAGCCTTCATGAGGCCTGTCACTGAGCCTAAAGAGGATAAGCCAATGGATCCAGCCATTGCCAAGCTGCTGGAAGAGTTTAAACCACCAGTACCTCCGCCAGTGTTGGGAAATTACAATGTCTTGGCCAGTACCCAAACTTTTCAGGGTGGGACACAGGGTTGGCAATGTTCCATAAATCTGAATTTTTTAGTGCCGCGAGTGAATGAAAAAAAGGAAAAAAAAAATGCCTTCTATACTGCAATGATGTCGGTCTGGGTAGTCCAGGAGGCCGTGCTCACAATCTTCCTCCACAGCATGCACCTTACAGGTAAGGCGGTCACATTCTGAATGTTACTGTTTTCTTTTTTTTGTTGGTCGTGTGTTTCTTACGAGTCCCCTGTCCGTGAATTGCTCAAGTTGTTCGTGATCTGCTCAAGCTGTGTTTTGTCAGAGGATTGTAAGGCTCATCACACTGACACTTAGGGAAATGTATCCAACCATTTTCACGGTCGGATCCATGTGCCCGTTGTTTCCCCCTTTTATTCTCTTTTTGGAATCTGACAACCTGGCCACCGGGCAGAGATGCCCTCATTGAGGGCACACTCACACTACCACTTCCAATAATGTATACAACTGCAATCACGACCAAAGCTTTGTTTCCTTTTTTTTTTTCTTCTTTTCTGAGGTTCACGACCACAACTTTTCTTCTTCTTCTTTGTTTTTTTTTTTGTTCTTTCCGTGAGAGTACCAGAAAGAAAACAGAGTGGTACCCAGGCTTGGCAAACTCAGAGCGCAGTGAAATTCAGGGTCGGCAAAAACAGGCTCAGAGGTACTGGTGGTTTAAAGACTTACCAGAGCCGTGACAGGAGTAGTACCGCGACCGATCCAACACTATATAGAGATAGAACCTGGCAGTAGAACTCCTAAGGGAGCAGTCTACAGGATGTCCCCAAGGGAGTTAGAGGAGTTGCGCAAGCAGTTGGATGAGCTCCTCGAATTGGGTTGGATTAGGCCCAGTTCGTCCCCTTTTGGAGCACCAGTGTTATATTTGTCCCCAAAAAGGAGGGAGAGTTACGTATGTGTATAGATTACAGGGGTCTGAATGCGATCACTGTAAAGAATGTTGAGTCGCTGCCTAGGATAGACAGTCTCTTAGATCGAGTGCAGGGCTGCAAATATTTTTCGAAGATAGATTTGAAGTCCGGGTATCATCAGATAGAGGTTCATCCTGATGACTGGTACAAGACTGCCTTCCGGACTAGATATGGGCATTATGAGTTCATAGTGATGCCCTTTGGATTGACCAATGCGCCAGCCACATTTCAACGTTGTACGAACGATGTGTTCAAACCTTGGTTAGATAGATTTGTAGTTGTCTATTTAGATGACATATTAGTATTCAGTAAGACCCTCCAAGAGCATTAGGGTCATTTGAGGCAGGTTTTGGAGAAGCTGAGAAAGGCTAACTTCAAGATCAATGCGAAGAAGTGTAAGTGGGCAAGACACAAGTTTTGTACTTGGGCCACATTTTAGATGGAGATGGGATTAAGCCTGAGGATAGCAAGATAGCGGCGATTCGAGATTGGCCAACGCCCCGCACACTGACAGAATTGCGGTCGTTTTTAGGCCTAGCTAACTATTATAGAAAGTTCGTAAGAAACTTTTCTACTATCGCCGCTCCTCTTCACAGGTTGCTAAGGAAAGAAGCGATCTGGACGTGGGACAAAGATTGTATGTCCGCGCTTAAGAAGTTAAAGCGCGCATTGATAGAATACCCTGTCCTCAAGGTTGCAGATCCGTCCTTGCCATTTGTCGTCACCACAGACGCGAGTCAATATGGTATAGGCGCCTTGTTGCAGCAGGACGACGACAATGGCTATAGACCCGTAGAATTCATGTCAGCGAGGATGCCCTCAGAGAAGGTAGCCACCTCAACGTATGAGAGAGAACTCTACGCTCTCAGGCAGGCTTTAGAACACCGGAAACATTACCTGCTTGGGAGGCACTTCAAAGTATATTCAGACCACGAGACTCTTAGGTGGCTGAAAACGCAGGCCAAGATGACACCTAAGCTAACTAGGTGGGCCGCTGAAATAGACCAGTATGACTTTGAGCTCAAGCTTGTCAAAGGCAAGTAGAATGTAGTTGCGGATGCTCTAAGTAGGAGATCAGACTACTTTGGAGTTATAGTTCACTATCTGGATATAGGGAGAGACCTGCAAGAGAAAGTAAGACAGGCGTATGCGCAGGATCCTATTTATAGTGACCTTCTCAAGAAAGTTAAGGAGGCCCCAGAGACTGAACTAGATTACCGCACTACAGAGGGATTATTGTCCGAGAAGACCAAAGTAGTAGACCGTCTGTGCATTCATGCTAGTGAGGAGATCCGTAGTTTGATCCTAGGGAAATGCCACGACACAGAGGGACATTTCGGTTGGCAAAAGACTCTAGCCAACCTGATGCAGGTGTATACTTAGCCAGGAATGGAAGTCGGCTGCATAGAATATGTTCGCAATTGCAAAGTTTGTCAGAGAAGTAAGACAACTACTCGTGCCCCTCTAGGTCTTCTTCGACCCTTGCCTATAGCCGATCAGCCTGGCGACTCAGTGTCCATTGATTTCATGAATGCTAGCATCAAGAGTAGGTACGACAAAAGCCAAGTCATGGTTATAGTCGATAGGTTTAGTAAATACGCAGTTTTTGTTCCTTTGCCTGCAGAGGCACGTACAGATTTAGTAATCCAGAAGCTTTTGATCATTGGGTGAGTGATCACGGGATTCCGTTGTCTATAGTTAGCGATAGAGACACCCGGTTCACTAGTCAGAACCGGCAGGAATTGATGAAAGTCTATGGGTCAAAGTTGCTAATATCATCTGGGCGTCATCCAGAGACCAACGGTCAGACTGAGCAAATGAATAAAATCCTGCAACAAGTTTTGCGCATGTATATTAGACCGGATCAGATCAACTGGGATGAGATGTTGCCCAAGGTAGCCAGTGCGTATAACAATAGCGTGCCTTTAGCCACCTGTCATACTCCCAATGAGTTGCACAAGTCCTTTAGACTGCACAGACCGTTTGAGGGACTTAACCGGGATCAGATTCATAGGCTACCACCCGGTACTAGGGAGTTTGCGATACAGCACGAGGAGTTACCGTCGTTGAGAACCTCAGGAAGGCCCAGCACAGAATGATAGAACAGGCTAACAAGCACCGTCGCCCGTCACAGTTCCAGGTAGGCGACCTTGTCTGGGTCAAGTCCAAAGAATTTGCTCCTGAGGAAAACATTTCGCAGAAGTTACTGCCCGCATACAGAGGACCGTGGCCAGTTTTAGAAGTTAAGGGCGGAGAGGATGGACCGTCCTATACAATAGAGATCCCAGCACACCTCCACACCTACCCTGTGTTCCATGTGTCAAAGTTGTTGCCATGCGTCACAAGTCCACAGTTTCCATCAAGAGCATCCATGATCCCTCCGGACATGGATGGAAGATATGACATTGAGGGCATTGTAGGTGAAGACGTATTCAGAACAGGAGGTAGAGGTCGTCCAAAGAAACAGTATAAGGTCCGATTTGCTTACCAGGAACCCGAGGACGACCGCTGGTTTACTAGAACTGAACATCTAGAAACGGCTCCCTACGTAGTTAGAACCTACGAGAGAGAAAGGAAAGGTAAAAATCCGGTCTTGGACTGAATTATTCTCGGAGGACCTCGAATTTAGGCCGGCGGGAGTGAAACGGTATTCACCTGTTAGCAGGAGCGAATGCAGATCCCAGGGCTCGATCCCTAGTTCTTACCTTACCTGTGCACAGTACCTGTGTTGACCCCGAGAGTTGAACCCGTGACCTGTGTATTCGCAACAGTTCGTAGGCTGTCGTAGGTCCCTAGGTGGTAGGGGTTCGATCTGTAGACCTGTCGAGCAGAGGTCTTAGCAAGTTCTAGAAGTCATAGCTGTAGCCCTTCTGAAAGGTCAAGTTCGTAGCTGCTACAGTCCTGAGAGGTCAAGGTCGTAGCTGCTACCGTGTTCGAAAGGCCAAGCCCACAGACTTCCGGAAGGTCCGGAAGTGGCCTTTCGAAGCTATCTCACGTTTGGACAAAGGCAAGTGGGCAAGTGGTGAGCCCAACTGCGTTACGTCGGCAGTGCGACTGCAGTAAGTTGGCAGTGCAAAGCCATGCAGTCAGCGGTACCGGTCCCAGTCAGTCAGAGTCCAGTCAAGCAAGTACTGTATGGGACTGTAAGCCATGCGGAAGCGCTGCTTGAGCGACTTGTGCGAGGTGGTCTGCAGAGCGCCCGAAGACGAAGTGGGAAGAGTAGAGGTTGCATAGCCATAGCCAGCAGGGTTAAGCGGCCATAGCCGCCGTAGGTGGTAGGCGAGTGTAGTGTGTGCATGTGTGTGATACAGTGTGTCGCGTGTGGGATATCCAGGGTGATCCCAAGTTGAGTGTGTGTGACCAGGGGAGTTGAGCACAGTGACGAACAGAGAATTGTACAGGCGCTGATGCGCCATAGCCTGTTGAAGCGAGCATGTATCTCAACTGTGCTTCCGACTTCCATATCTCTGAGCTTTGAGTGGGCGCTGAGCGCCAGTCTGACTTGCCATCTGTTTGTGTGAATGCGAAGTGAAAAAGAAAGCAAGTCTGATTGCATGTTAAAAGAATGGAAAAAAAAAAAACAAAGAGCCTTGGACCATCCAGCCAGACCGGGAAGAAGTGAGGATTGCTATGTAACTTTCTATATTGAGTATTATGGACTTGGGGTTGGAAAAGGAGCTGGGCTGACACTTCTCAGAATTGAAAGAAGCTATCCCTGTAAAGACTCTAAACCTCATTTAGTAAGAACACTTATCATTCAAATTTTATGTGTTATTTGATGAAACTGTTTTGCAGGACGGGATTGAAACTGGAAACACCATTCAGGGGAATTTGGGCATACGCACGCTGCAGTCTTTCAGCTTGCTGAATACTGACAGCACACCTGCAACATTTTGGCTTACGAACCCAAATAATTTTGTGCGAAACAATGTTGCTGCGGGCTCAGCTGCTTATGGATTCTGGTACAGAACTGAAGAACATCCAGATGGCCCATCGGAGACCACCGATGTTTGTCCGATATCTACACCCCTTGGTGACTTCAGCGGGAATGTAGCTCACAGCAACCTCCGCTATGGCTTGAGAATCCATCCGGAGTATGATCCTCGTACCGTCATGTGTGACAATTTGAGCCCCCCGCAGACAGCGGTATGACAACTTCAGTATGCCCCTGAACAATCTGTGCTGTATATGAGCTGTTCCGCAAGATGCAAGAATATAATATGTCTAGAAAAGTCTGCCAATTATGTCGCACAGCAAACCAGCAAACTGAAGTAGCTGGCCTAGATGAAG